CTCATTCTTTCCACGACTCCAGTCATTACCATCAGACTTCCAGACGCACCTAGAAGTCTGTGTCTCTGGGCAAGAAATGGGAGGAGGGAGAGGTTCCAAAGTCACCCTGAGCTCAGTGGCAGGGGCACAGCAGCAACAAAACCAGCAAGAAGCGGCCACCGTGGCTGTCACAAGGGAGCACTGGGCCAGGGAAGGCCCCCACGCCCGCATGCGTCCAGTGGATCCTGGCACCTGGGAGGAGGGGCCGCCAGCTCACCTCCCGCGGAGGAACCTGGGGCGTGAAGAGCCAAAGGGCCTCCCCGAGCCACGGCAGAGCAAGGCCGAACCCGGCAACGAGGCCCCAGGCCCTGGGCACCAGCCTGTCACCCACACAGATGCCAACGCGGGTCCAAGTCAAGGACATGGCCTGCAGCGCCATTCCAAGGGCTAGTGGAAAACAGGAGGCGACCTCATGCCCACCAGCCAGGGACAAGGAGCTGGCTGCAGGAGAGGGCTGGGAACTATCCTCAGGGAGGCGCCCAAGGCCTGGACAGAGGGACAGTGGTGAGTCTACACAGCAGCACCGAGCGCGAGGTGGACCCAGCCACAAGAAGGGTCGCAGGAAGGGCCGCGGAGCACCAGCTCGTCTGTGCCACACGCTGGTTTTTCTTTTACGAAGAGAACATTCACTGTGTCGCTTTTATAAAATTTTAACTTTAAAAGTCATCGGCCAATAAGCTGATGACACACACAAGGACACACGCTGTGTGATCCCCACGTGAGTTTCCAGAGATGGGGGACCACAGAAGGGCAGAGTCACGGGCGGGGCGGGGCAGGGGGGTCTCACTGTGGTGGGTGAGTTTCTGACATGTAAGAAGGACGGCCCCTGGAGGCCGCTGGACACCGTGGCACACGGTTAACTGTGCTGCTCTGTGCCCTGCACGATGTTGGGAAGCGGCTGGCCCAGCGTGGTGTCCCGTGGTGAAGAGCGTCATCCAGGACATACGTGACTCTCCTCTCCCCAGGGAGCACGGGGCGGGTGCTGTGGGGGAGGCAGGGGTCCTGAGGCCCTTCAGCCAAGACACACTGCCCTGAGCAAGGCACAAGGCAGTCCTGCAGCTGCTGCCTGGCCAGAGGAGCACCAGGCCCCACACAGGGGGCACCTCCACCCTCCACTGTGCCCAGGGCATGGGACCACCCGGGGCAGAAGGCAGAGGGGGGTCTGCACATCTGCAGCACAGGCGTGGACACAATGACCCCGGCCTCCTCCAGGGACTGCTAAGGTTAAAGTGATAACAAACCAATGTGCCTTGACACGGCCTGGATGTCCCCACAGCCACCGCCATGGTCTAGGTCCCTCAATTTCCAAAGCCACGACTCAGATAGCGCCACTAGCCTAGATGATCGTCCCCCTTCACTCACAGCACCCTGGAGCCTCGGAAGCCCACTCGCCCCTAGCAAACCCCAGGGCAGCACAGACCCAGCCACCTGGCAGGGCAGGCAAGGTGGGCATCGCAAGCACCACCCAGGCACACTCAGCCAAAGGCAGCGGGCGGGCTGGCAGGCTCCTCAACCACCGTCATATCCACACTCCCCTGAAACCTGAGCTCGAGCTTGACCTGGTCCAGCAGCACAGGCTCCAGAGCACCTGTGTCCAGGCACAGTTTTCTAAAGGAAAACCCAAGTTTTATCTGGGGAAAAAAAAAAAAAAAAGGATGAATAAAGCCTGGAATTCTGGTGCCACTTGAGGGACAATCATCAAACAGGCTATTTTTTTCATTTTTCCACAGTAGCCCAGATCTGGAACATGCACAGGTGGAAAAAGAAAATGTGGTCGCTGTACATGGTGGAATATTACTCAGTCCTAAACCATAACATGTCTTTATCATTTGTAGCAACATTGACCACCTCGAGGACCTTAGGCTACATGACATGAGCCAGGCAAGAAAGACAAATACAGCTCGTTCTCATCTACGCGTGGCAGCTAAGAGTAGATCTCATGGAGGCAGAGCTGGGAGGGAAGGAGGCAGGTGGAGGGAGGACGCTGATGAGTGCCAGGTGCCACTGGAGAGTATGAGGAACCTTTAACATTCTATAGAGCACAATGGGTGATTGACAGCTGTATATCTCAAAATAGCTGATAGGAAGGATTCTGAATGTTCTCAACACAAAGAATAAATGTTCGAGGTGCTGGATCTTCCACTTGCCCTCAGTTGATCACACCTGCATGCCTGTGTTGAAATAAATCATTTACAGGTGGGGAAACCAGGGCACAGAGAAATCAAGTAACTCCTGCAAGGTCACACAGCCTGTTTGTGGCAGCACCAGGATTTGAACCTGTGCCCTAGAGTCCATGTCTTAACCACTGGGATCCACTGCCTGTAGCTTGAAAAATCAGCCCAGCAGGCTCTCTACGTGAGCCAAGGAGACGCTGTTTCACAAAGGACAAAGTTCCAGGGATCTCTCTTGGTCCAGGAGACACTGCCTTTGTGGTAAGAGGGTTATAACCTTTCAAACTCTCTTGGTGTGTCACAAGATGGACCCCATCTCCAGCCTCGTGCAGCCCCCAGTCCCAGCTCCTTCCTTGTACCCTCAGGACTCTGCTAACCAGCTTTTCAAGACCCAGTGAGACCTAGACGCCCCTGTTTCCAAAGGCTACTCAGTGCTGGAGAAGAACCAAGGTCACTTCTCCTCACCCTGGCCCTGTGCGGCACTTGGGTGGAAACGCAGCAGGAGGCGTGAGCACGGCCCCCGCGGCCCCCTGCCCAGTGTCGACAACACCGAGAGGAGACCTCCTCAAATCTTGTGCCCAGCCAGGCTTGGATCCGGGCCTCGCTGGAGCCCAACGCAATGGGTCGCAGCCATTACAGAGGACAAGGTTCACACAGGCAGTCCCCTGGGTTAGGAGAGCGACACCTTCCCTGGGCCTGGAACATCCTGAGGAGGCACAGCGGGGACAACAGCCAGGCGCACGTGGCAACGGAATGACCGACCATCGTGTAGAGCCCCATCCAGGACTCAACCTTGGCCCTGTGACAATCAGCCAGAGTGGCAGAGCGTGGGCAGGCAGGTCCCCTGGCTTTGTGCCTCTGCTCCCAACTCACCCAGACAGGGAAGCCACAGGTGCTCCCCCAGCCCATCACAGAAGCTGCCACTTCCCCTGGCCTGCTCCACTGCCCGGGCCCGAGACTCCACCTGGGCACAGGGGGCTGCCCTCCTCTCCTGTCCTGCACGTGCTGCCCACTCCTCTGCCACCTTGGAGTCTCTGCCAAGCATGGAGACAGTGGTGACTCCCCCCGGGGACCAGCTCTGAAGAGCGCCCTGCTTGCTTCATTTGTTCCCACCATCTCCATCTCC